AAGCTGCATAATCTCTTAGGGATTGGATGTCTGGGAAGGATTTTAATTCTCCATTGCTGATTAAGCTGAGCTTGGCTGAGTAGGAAATTCTTGGTTGAAATTATTTATTTTTGAGTACTTTGAATATTGGACGCCAGTCCTTTCTAGCTTGTGGTGTTTCTGCTGATAGGTCTACTGCTATTCTGATTGGTTTTCCCCCAGTAGGTAGTTGGACCTTTCTCTCTTGGCTGTCTTTAGGATTTTTTCTATTGTGCCTACTTTGTATCAGTGAATTACTATGTATCTAGGGGTTGGTCTTTTCATTTAATGTCTTGTGGGGGTTCTCTGTATCTCTTGTGTTTGGATGGTCATGTCTCTTGTGAGATAGGGTAAATTTTCTTGGATAACCCCTTGGAATACTTGCTCCAAGGTGTTCTCCCTTTCTCTTTCTTCTTCTGGATTACCAATCAGGTATAGGTTTGGCCTCTTGATATAATTGCACATCTCTTGGAGGCTTTGTTCTTTCTTTCTGGTTTTTATTTCTAGTTTTTTACAGATAGAATTAATTCCATGTTTTGGTCTTCAAGTTCTGATATTCTTCTGCTTGATTAATTCTGCTTTCCATGCTTGTCATCTTGCTATTTATTTCCTGGATGAAATTTTATGACCAAAATCTTTGTTGCAAGTTCTTTCAGTGTTGCATCTTGTATTTCTTGAGTCTTATTCACTCTATTCATCCATTCCCTAATCCCTGTTGAATTTGAGGCCAGTCTTTGATGACTTCTATTGTTTGGGCTCTGATGTCTAATTTTTCAGGAGTTTTCACTTTGTTAAACTGGGAATTATCTGTGTTCTTCCACTGACTTTTCCCCATTTGTGACAGATCTCTTTCTTTCCCTTTAGTTCTGTTATTCAGTGGCAGTGGGAGAGGTTTTCACTTCTAATATTTGCACAACCCTCTATTCTTCCCTGATCAGGTCTCTGAGTTTGTTCTATTTTTAATGGGGCTCTGGGTGGGAGCTATCTCTTGTAGTTTTGAGAGTTGAATAAGGTGAAGGATGGGGAGCTAGGATTCAGAAACTACTTGCAAGCCACAATGATTGTGGCATGGGTTCCCTGAGACTCACTCCCCACCAACACTTTATATGATTATGCAATAGGTACATGTGGGTATTCCCTGAGTCCAAGATACAGTAACAGCAATGAGGAGAACAGAGAAAAGTAGAATAAAATAAGATGAACAAAAAAATAAAAAAAACACAGAAAAACAAAAGCAGAAAACAAACAATTAAGCATATATGGGTACATGTGCACACACACACTCATACCCCTTCTAAATCAAAACGAACTAGGAAAAAACTCAAAGTAAAACAAACAAAAGAAAAAACAGGAAAGCCAAACACACACACACACACACACACACACACACACACACAGCCATCACAAAACAGAAAAAAGAAAAGAGAAAAAAGGAAAAAAAAGGAATTCAAGAAAGAATTAAAATTGAACCCTCACACATACATTCACACACACATTAAACTAAAAAAAGAGAAACAAATCCCAAAACAGACAAACAAAAAAACCTGAAAGATGAACACTCAATCATTTACATACACTCATAAACAGAAAATTTAAAAACTGAAAGGAGAATGAAAAAAGAAAAACAAAGGAAATATGGGAGGAAATCCAGATCGAACCCTCACACACACATTCATGCACAAAGGAAAAAGAAAAAAAATTAAAAAACAAAGAAACAAACAAAACCCCCAAAACAACCTGTCTTCTTGTGGCAGGTCCTATAATTGTTCCTCTCCACTGCTCATAGGTTAGCCCCTGTGTTATCTCCTGTGTAGCTGTGGCCTTATTCACAATCTCCCCAGTGTCCCACTTAGGGAAGGAGGAGGAGGTGGTGGGGGTGGGTGGGGCTTCAGTCCTCCCTTCCCACTCTCATATGGTCAGAGAGATCACCTCTGGTAAGGAGATGTGGGATTATCTCTTCCCCAGGTACTGCTGGGGAGTGCCCCAGCCAGGTTTATCCTGGAGTAGAGTCCTCCTATCATAGCTGATGTCCAAGCTCTGCCTGGGTTCATCCCTCTCTGTCATGCTCCTGCCGTGTGGGTCTGACATTCAGAGGATTGCTGGGGAGGAGGGGGTTGGGTTAGCCCTGGACTCTTCAGTAGTCTTCCTCATCCTTTTCTGGTCACACCCTTTGTCCCACAGCTGAATCGGGTAGGGGGTGGGAAGCCAGAGACTCAGCACTTGTCCCATCCCTCCAGAGTTTGTGCTTTCAGGACATTCCCTCTGGGTCATGCACAACTCCTGAGTAATTAATCCAGGTCACAGAGGTCAGGTCTGTCAGTCCATGGTGAGCAAGCTGGAGCACTTCTCTGCCCAATTTTCAAGATGGTGGCAGGGTGCCTATTTCTTCTCCTCTTGTAGGGCTCTGCCTCTGGGCTCTCTTGCTGTACTCCCTCTGTAGTCCTTGATGCCAGTGTCTGGCCAGGTGCTGTGGTGGTGAGGTGGAGCCTGGAGTCAACAGTCACTCCTGGCAGCTTCTTCCCAGGAAGGGTTTTGCTGGCTTTTAAAAAATGGCACTCAGTTTCTGTGCCCCAGGCTGCACTAGGGTCCAAGCAGAGCAACTGCAACACCAACCACTTCACCAGGTGGATCCTGGCCACTTGCTCCTGAGTCCCCACTCAGTCAGCCACTCACATGCCCACTTACTCACAGACACATATGCAAAACTTTCCATACACTTCCTCACTCACACTGGGACTCACATAGTCTGACTGGCCCCACCATCATCTTTCCAGAAGTCTGTCTATTATATGTTTCTAGGCAAAATTTATGTATGGTGATAGAGGTAAAAAACGCTGGTTACCTTTGTGGGGGAGTATGAACTGGGAGTCAGCTGGAGTATTAAAAATATTGTATATTTTGGTGTGGGAGGTGTGGGAGGTGTGTTCATGCTCTGCCTGGGTTCATCCCTCTCTGTCATGCTCCTGCCGTGTGGGTCCGACATTCAGAGGATTGCTGGGGAGGAGGGGGTTGGGTCAGCCCTGGACTCTTCAGTAGTCTTCCTCATCCTTTTCTGGTCACACCCTTTGTCCCACAGCTAAATCGGGTAGGGGGTGGGAAGCTGGAGACTCAGCACTTGTCCCATCCCTCCAGAGTTTGTGCTTTCAGAACATTCCCTCTGGGTCATGCACAACTCCTGAGTGTGTAAATTTCTCTGAGCTGTACATATATTTGTACATTTTACTGTATGCATTTTATAATATAGTAATACAAAACAAGAATAGATTTATGTATTGGCTTCATTTTGACAAAATAAACACAGGACTATATAGCCTAGAAATTAATAAAACTTTACTCTTGAAGTGAGTTGGAATGAGGGTGAAAGGGTAGGACAGAAGATGAAAGTTCCCCACATACTGCATCTTTACATTTTTTATTTTTTAAATCACACTAAAAATTTAAATATTAAAAAATGAAATTATATTAGTAAGGATAAAAACATAATTTTTTCATTGTCAGTATCACCTTTATTGTACTTAATTTATAAATTCCCCCAAAACACAATTTTTAGGGGTTAATAGCAGAAACAGAGGTGTTGACAAGTAATTTCATCTACTATTTTTTACAATTTCCAGTTCTCTTGGAGTTAGGTTGGGGCCATATGACTAGTAGTGGCCCAAAGGCTTTAAGTAGAAGCCTCTGGGATGAAACATATAAGAGCTGATTGGATTCCTCTTTGCTTGCTTCCTCCTTTTGGCAATAATGGAGGCTACATCCTGAGAATGGTGGAGCTACAGGATGGAGCTTCCTGGATCTCTGAGTCTCCACATGGAGCACAATTAGCTAACCTGCGTTGGAGTTTTTGAGAGTGAAAAATAAACCTTTTAGATTTGGGGGTTGGTTTGTTGCCTCAGCCCTCAGGATAGCCTAGCCTATTCTGAGTTATACAAAGAAGATATAACATTGAGGTGAATTTCTGAGAGTAAGTTTTGGTGGTTATATTAGAAGAACTTGTGAGGGTGATAAAAACTTTTCTGTAGTCCTGAGAAGAATTAGAATGTGAAATTTTATTAAAGTTTTAGAGCTAGAAGAAAACTGTGGACACCATTTTATCCCTTTTACTTTAAGACTAGAAACATGAACCAGAGAAACTAATGATTAGGTCAAAAGCACATTGCAAATTAGTGATAGAGAGCGGATTGCTACTCTGGTTTCTGAGACCCTGAGAATAGTCTCAGGGTTGAACTACAACTACTTTTGAGAAAAACAACATTTGCTTAAAGTCTTTTAGAATGTTTTGAACTTCTTTCAGATTCCTGGCAAAAGTTTAAGATGGGGACAGTGCTATTTGAGCATCTATCAATTTTTTGTCCCCCACTCTGAGGTCACAACTTCCACTGTCCTTTCATCCTGGCAGTCCCGAGTGGACAATCAGAAAATATTTTCTAAATAAATGGCACTTTTGCTTTTTACTTTATACCTCTTATGGGTTGGATCTTTTTAAATGATTTGAATTAGTTGTGTAGACAGACAAAAATAAAGAACATGTCCTTCCATCTTGGACAGTTTTTTTTGGTAGAAAACAAGCACTCCCCAAACCCTCACATGTAAAGGTAAGAATAGGAAATACCTGTGGCATATGGCATTATTTTGAATTAATGTCTGCAGGACCTAGGTCATTTTGCCACAAATTTATTTATTTGATTTGTGAAATCTGTTTTTGCTTCAGCATTGCTTAAGACTGGGTGACCTGCAATCAGTCCCTCCCACTCCCACACTGATGTTTCTCTCTATGATTCAGGTAGCTGCTTCTTTGTGTCTTCTTCAGGCTCATATTGGCAATATCTCATTCTTATTTCCCATGCCCCCATTTCTTAATTTCTGAGCTATTACCATTGCTAAGGAAGAAATCTCCCGACCTCTCTTATCCATCTTCACTCTGACCCTGGAGTTGAAGAGAAGTCATTGTCACATCATCACTTGTTAGCCAATCAGGTGAGCACCTCCCTTCAAGGACCTCCCTGTCCCATAGGAGTTTTCAGACAGCTTCAATGGAAGGAGGGAGCCAAGAAGGAGGTCTGGTATAAGTTCCAAGATGATAATTACAACATGGATTGTGTACATTTTCTCCCGGAAAGGTGTAGGGCTCCCCTTCCCACCAATAACCAGTTCGGTAAGTGGCATTGGTGGTAGTCATGTGGAATTTTTTCTCATGTATCTTCTCCCACTCTGTGCCCCTGCTGCACTTCAGGGAGATCTTACAATATGTAACTTTGAATAAGAGTGGAGGGCAAGGAGAAGCTGGGTTTTTAGGTTATCTGAGGTCATCAACTTGCCAATTTGTTTCAGGACATTGACGTTGTGGAAAGCGAGGCTGTATCTGTAGTACAGCACTGGTTGAAAAAAGTGAGTAAGATTCCTCTATGACTCAGGATAACTAAAATTCTAGGGAGTTGGTCTTAGTGGGTGTGGGGATCTGGACTTTTTTTTTCAAAGAATCAGAAAATTCAAGTTAATTGCCAAATGCCTTCCTTAGAGTTGGCTCTAATTCACTCAAATGTCCTGGTAAGAAATGTATTAGTACCACCATCAATCCTGCCCTGCTTCTCAAGCATCCTAGATTAAGGGAGCTCAATTGCATTATTCTCTGTTCCAGGGTATCTCAAGAATACCTTGGGATAGGATCAGGGACTTAGGAAGTTCCTGGGGACTTCATGGGAAAATAGCACTAGAAGCTTATTGTAGGGACTATAAGGTACAGAATGCACGTGTGTGAACATGGGGGCATGTATATTGTGATGGAGAAGAAAAAAAGGAGAGGGGAACTCAGGATGAGATGCAGACTGACACTTTTAGAGGGAAATGACTTACTTTCCAGACAGAAGAAGAGGCTTCCCTGGGCATAAAACAGAAGATGTCCAGCAACTGCACTTCTCAGGACACAAAGGAGAAGATGTCCACCAACAACCCTCCTACTCATGGCCAAGACATACATGTGACCAGAGATGTGGTAACAGAGAGATTCAGACAGCCCCTTGGGAGTTGGGGGTGAGGGAAAGGGAAGAGTTGGGAGGTCCTACTGTAACAAAGATTGTGAACAAGGATGAAGCTCTCCTCTGGGCTTGGTGCCACCCTAGCCAGGGTGGGGGGGGCACACTGGACAGGAATCACTTGGACTCCCTCCTGGATTTCCTAGGTGAAGCACCATCTTTCAAAATCTGATGTGCTGGCAAACCAGAGTCAGGAGGTCCTGGAGGAGAGGACAAGAATTCAGTTTATAAGATGGAGGTAATGCATCCCATTTACCCTGAGCAAAGGAATGGGCAGGGAGGGCGAGAGAAGGCACCACCTCTCTTCAGGATTCCTGGCCAATGCAAACACACCCACAGTTACTCTTCTCCAGAGAAGTCTTCTCTGGCTGAGGAATTTCTCAGCATTGCTTTGGGGTCTTAAGGGAATATACTTGTCATCTTGAAAACTTAGCTCATTCCGACATTTTAAAGTGAATTGAGGGGTTGGAAAACTGGGCTTGCACTCCCATTTTTAAAAATGCTTCTGAATACATTTCAGACTTCTGTTATTTTTGCACTTGAGTTGCTCAGAAGTGGCTGCACTTTAAAGAGCTGAAACTTTAAAGAGCTGAAAGAAAATAGGCTGTTAAAATGCAAAAGCCAAAGTTCTCATCTGCAACTGAGGTGCATGGCGGTTTCCCAACGCCGGAGGTTAGAATTCTGTACCCCACATTGAGGAGACATCACCAGCCTGCCATGTGCCTGCGCACAATCTCCCCACCTCTCTTGGCTCTGAAGATCTGAGGCTCAAGGCCCAGGGAGGGCCTGATATCAATTCACTCCTTAGGTCGAGGTTTTTCTACTTCCTTTCCAGTGCCTGTGTTCATTCAGGGTCTCTGGACCATGCCACCCATCCCTTCCCAGTGGAGGGAATGCTGGCTTAGATTGGTCCTGCAAGAGGCCGGGAAGGAGCCCTCTCCTCTCCCAGCTCTCTCTCCTGTCCCTTATCCCCACTGTTGGCTCTGATTTCTTCTATCAAGAAGGCTCTATTTCTCAAGAAATTTGCTTTTGCTTCCAGATATCAAGTTTTCATGTTTTTCTCCCTTCAAGTACCATCTGCATTTTAAGAGGTTTCAAATGCACAGTGCTTACATAGCAGGAAGGGATAAGGAATGGAATTCAAGGCCTCCCTGGGAAGGAGTTTCTTGGGCGGGTAACCTTCTGAGGCCCCTACAATCATACATGTTGCTGATTGTAGTCCAGATTTTTTTGCGCCTGACTTGGCTGTACTATGGAATTCTAAACATTATATATTTTGGTTTAAGTAATACACATGTCATCATTTAATGTTATAAAGATCTTGGCTATGTAACATAATTAGGCTTGAGCTTTTGAGATAGGCTACAGGAATTGGTCAATTATCTAGTTATAATTTTTCTACTGTGAATTTTTCTACGGAGATTTTAAACCAACAAACTCTGCTTGCTTCCCCCCACAATCCACTAGTTTTGGTGTCCCCTTCTTAGTTTCAGTAAGTATGTAGACTACATTTTCCTCTATGAAGCTTCACTGAATATTCATTTGTTTGATAGGCAAGTATTGGCCACTCTGTGTTTGCTAAGCTCTCTGGAAGAGAAAGAAAAGAACACGACATACTCCCCAGTTTCAAAGGGTTGAAAGTTAACTAGGTGGATAAGGTGTGTAACAGTTAAAGAAAATGCTAGAGAAGTCATGAGGAGTATCTCTGAGAGCACAGGGTGGGGGACCCAGGTCATGGAAGTACAAGGACTCACTGCTCGGGGCACCCAGGAGAGGTTTCTAATTGGTCATTTGCTCAGACTGGCTCTTGAACTGGTTGAACTGGCAGGAACTGGAGGAACAGGAGCCCGGGAGAGACGTGTGGAGGACTTCAGAGAGCAGGAACTTTGGCAACCTGGCTGATCCATGTGGCCTCCAAAGTTCTAGTGCACATCTAGGGATGTGACTTTGGCCCCTTCTTCCATGGGGTTTCCCCTTTCACTACTGGGCTAGCAGTAAGCCCTCCGTCCTCTGGAGTCCCTGCTTTCTCTATCTCCCTCTCAGGCTGAAGACCTGGCTTCACCTTGCAGGAGTGATATTCATGAGCACACCTTACCTCTCCAGGGGCCATGAGTCACTGGCACCTTCGAAAATCCCTAGCACCGAAAATCCAAAAGGCAGTTTCAACAGACACAGAAATGGGGTGTTCTGGGGGACAGACTGGGAGGCATCGTGAGGGGAGGAGTAGGAAAAGCTATGAAGTGGACATGGACCAGAGACAGGAAGGCAAAGCCAGTACAGCAAATAAGACAGGCAACAGCACTGAGGCACCCGCAGCTTCCTTGCGACAGAATTTTCTAGATGTTTCTCTAAACCATAGCAGATATGGCGTGATGCAGATCCTAAGGAGCTGGTGATGAAATTGGGGAGAAATTCAGAAGGGGCAAATTCCATATCCACAAGATCATTGACCCACTGGCTTTAGTAGACACGTTCAGCTTCCCTGAGTTTCCAACGCTGCTCAGGTCTGTTTGCTACGTGCTCAGAACTATTGGGTAGCTCAGGGGTACTTGGTTAGTTAAAAAAACAAGACAAAACTTTGTGCTCATGACTCGAGAAGTGCAAGGGACCAGTTCAAGCGTTCATGGTGACAGAGCATGCATAGTTGCTCATATGATCCCAACTCCAGCAGTTCACCATGCCTAGTGAGAAAGAAACTCAGGATCCCAATGTCTGAATGGCTTTTTTCAGCCATACCCGCATCTTCCAAGTGCCGAGTGAGGTGGCAGAGGACACCATGCAAGAACGGATAGAGCAGGTGAGACGAAGGTAAGCTGTCCGAGACTGGTTGATTTGTGTCCCAATAAGGGGCCGGTGGGGTGGAGGGTGTCGCTGGGTTTCTTTTCCACACCAGTTATGCTGACTCTGGTATTCAACATCAGGATCAGGGACAAGCTACTGCCCTATCTTCTATGCTCCATGTATGGGGGCCTTGTCAGTCACCTACAGTGCCTGTGATGCCCAGAAGGGCTCCAGGCTGAAAGCTTCTTCACAAGACCTTGCTCTGGGGCTTACGGGTCTTCCCACCACAGCCCCTGCCATGTTCTGGGTGTATGGTCTAGGTGTGTGGCCTGGGTGTGTGGCCTGAATAGGCTGTGCCATCAGCAGCCTTCCCTTACCTCGCCCGTTCTGGTGTCCCCTGCAGCATATCGCATCTCACACAGGACCTGGCTCAGAATCCCAGCTTGAGAGCTTCCTACTCGGACTGCTAAGGGCAACAGGTGAGAAAGTTGGCAGGTGAGGAAACAGGCAGAGAAGAGGGGTATCCTGGGCAGCAAAGGTGTGCAGCCATGGAGAGGTTGGTAACAAGGCTTAGCCATTCTCTATTGGTGAATGGGCCTGCACTTGGGGCCAGGGGGGTGGGGGAGGGGCAGCCGCCTTGGCATAGGCCCTCGTGTTTAGAGGTTGTGGTGGGGTCTGCAATTCTGTATTTCTTTTTTTTTTTTTTGAGTTGGAATCTCACTCTGTCGCCCAGACTGTAGTGCAGTGGCTGCTCCCGGCCACCACAGCCTCGACCTGCTGGGCTCTGGGGATCCTTCCATCTCAGCCTTCCAAGTAGCTGGAACTACAGGCGTGCGCTACCATGCCTGGCTAATTTTTTGATTTATTGTGGAGATGAGGTGTCGCCAAGTTGCCCAGGCAGGTCTTGAACCCGCGGGCTCAGGCAATCCACTCACCTCAGCTTCCCAAGGCGTGGGATGCAATTCTGCATTTCTAACAGTTCCTGGGTGTGGCCACTGCTGGTCTACTGACCTTGAATTACAAGATCATAGTCAGGAGAGATGCTGTATAGGTCTGCCATCAACTAGGGATGTGACTTTGTGTCCCCTAGCCTCTGTCTTTGCTCAGTTCCAGTGGTCACACAGTGGCTGTTTACATGACTTCAGGAGGTAGAAGGCCAATGACAGGGCAAAACAACCGCAGGAGCCATCCAGGGAGCAGCCACTGCACCCAGGCCAGAGCAAAAGACTACACTGGCCACTGTGGGGGCTAGAGAGGAGATTTAGACACAGTGGCCTCAGCATGCTTATAAGAAGGTCACAGGGCATTTATTGAGTACTTCCTAGATGTCAGCTTCTGCACAAGGTACCCTGAGAAGGTTTCTCATTTGATCCAAAAACAACCTTAAGAGGAGTAGCTTATTTGTGACCTTTATACAGAAGGCAGAGGTTAAGTCAAGCCTGGGAGCACACACTGGTTCCCATCCAGCTCCACCATGGGCAAGTTACTTAATGCTTCTGTGCCTCAATTTCCTCTTCTATAATAGGAGTGTCTACTTTGGAGGGTTGTCTTGGGGTGACAGTATCTATCTAGCACAAGGGAAACACCACGCCAATTGTTTGCTAATATTACCAGAGACAAACTGAATTGTTGGGAGGGTAAGCAGCACACAGGAGCTTTTGAGTTGGAAGACTCAGACCAGACTCATCCCAGCTGTCTGGCACACCACTGCCTTCTCTTCCATGGGTTTTCTCGAAAGTGAGAACAGCAATGGAGGTATCATGAGTCCTGTCCTTTAGGCCAACCACGTCTCCATGGTGTGTCCCTGGGCATTTCTCTGCCTCCCAGGTTGAAGTCCTTCAGGGTCAAGGAGCAGCCAGTGTCAGAAGGTCTATCTCCCACTTGACCAGAAGAAGGAAGGACCAGATGTGGGCAGAAAGACTCCAGCATGTGAGCCTGTTACAGCAACAGCAGCAGCACTGGAGTCCTCTCATGCAACTGCTAATAAAGAGATATGGTATTTAATAACCTAATTGGGCACTGGTGTGGGTGCTTATTCATCCATCAGACACTGAGCACCTTGCAGGGTCTCTGGAGATACATGGCTCACAGACTTGCAGGGGAGGCAGGCAGTAGCCCTTCTAGTGCCGTGTGTGAAGACGATGTGGGTGCTCACAGGAGGTTAGAAGGGGTGCTGGTGTGGGCTGGGGCAAGGAGGCCTTCCCGAGGGAAGTGTGGCAGCTTTGTTTCAAGCATTGCTTTTATCTTCACTTCTTCTCTAGCATTCTTCCTTTCTTTATGTAGCTCTGAGCTTCTGACCTACATCATTTGCCTTCTCTTTGAAGAACTTGTAACATTTCTTGCAAGGCAGGTATACTAGTGACAGTTTTTCTCAATATTTGATTGTCTGAGAAAAGATTTTTCCTTCACTTTTGAAGAATAACTTTGCAGAACACAGAATTCTAGGCTGGCAGTTTTTTTTTTCTTTCAACACTGAAATATTTCACCACACTCTCATCTGACTTGCATGGTATCTGAGGAGAAGCTGGATGGAATTCCTATTCTTGCTCTACTACAGGTAAGGTGTTTTCCCCTTCTTTCAAGATGTTTTTTCTGTCTTTGATTTTCTGTAGTTAGAATATGATATGAATAAGTGTAGCTTTTTTTTTTTTTTCATTTATCCTGCTTGTTGTTCTCTGAGATTCCTGGCTCTGTGAATTGGTATCTGTCATTAATTTTGGAAAGTTCTCAGCTATTATTAATATTACTTCAAATATTTTTGTTCCTTTCTCTGTTTTCCTCCTGACATTCTTATTACAAACACATTACACCTTTCATAATTATCCCATAGTTTTCACTTCTTTTCATTCTTTTTTTTTGGTCTATTTACTTTTCAGTTAGGATACTTTCTATTGACATTTCTCATTGATTCTTTCCTCAGCCTTGTCCAGTCTGTTGACGTACCCTTCAAAGACAGTCTTTATTTCTGTGTAGTGTTTTATTTTATTTCCAGCATCTCCCTTAGATTTCTCTCCTTAGAGTTTCCATCTCTCTGCATACATGATGACCCCTCTGTTCTTGCATGTTGTCTGCTTTCTCTACAAGGGCTCTCACGTACTTTTCACAGTTGTTTTAAATTCCCAGCCATATGTGAGTCTGGTTCTAATGCTTGCTTTGTTCCTTTAAACACTGTGAGTGTGAGGAGACCCAGGTGAATATTCTGCTATATCCTCTAGGACCTCAGAGTGGAGGAGGGGCTGCCATGCAAACAAATAATGAAATAGGGTGTGAAAATAAACCAAGGACCTAACAAAGCTCCTGGAGGCAAAACCCATGGAAGTGTGGGGACCCCCATATACCTGGATCCTCTTGGGCTTTTTAAAAGTCAAGCTCATTCACACTTGGCCTCCAGCAATTGTCAGCTACAGCTCAGGTTTTCCTGTCCATACCGGTTCCTTTGGAGGCCCCTGGTCCAGAGCTTCTGCTCTGGCAAGCTGCGGTTCTCGGAATCCCTTTTTCCATCTCTTCAACTTTCAGGGCAGCAGTTTGCCTTGTGAGCTCAATTCTCTGACGGGCCTAAGAAGAGTTGTTGATTTTCAGTTTATTCAACTGTTTTTCACATGGTGAGAATGAGAGTGGTGACTTCCAGGCTTTTACATGTCAGACTAGAAACTGGAAGTCTCACTCAAGTATTTATTTATTGTGTGTCCACTGGGATACTGACTAATGTTTCCTGAGCACTTAGCATAGTCTTGGTCCTCTGTAAGCACTTTAAGTATTCCAAGTGCTAAGCCACACAGCCTTTGACACAGATATTAGTATTATTATCGTAGAGGAGATAACACAAGATCAAGATTAAGTTCTTGACCAAAGTCACTTTGGTGAAGGGGGGGATAAGAACCCCAGCCTGGCTTTCTGGCTCCAAGGCCTCCTTTCTCAGTCACTTTGTTGTACTGTGTGTGGGCCTTGGGTTAGGCCCTGGGAATACAGCCGTAAATAAGACCCATCCAGTCCCTGCCATGGTGGGACTTTCATTGAACAGAGATAAGTTTTAAACAAACTCATTATTTACAAGTCACAATTTTCATAATTACCACAAAGATAAAGCATGACATATATTTGGAACTTGTCCTAATCAGAGAAGAAAATTGAGATTTCTTATTGATTATTTTAAAATCATCATCTCTCTTTTACAGGTGAGAAACAGGGAGTTCAGATATTTTAAGTAGTTTTCCTGATGTCATACAGCCATTAGGTGACATAGCCAGCATTTGAGTCCAAGTGCTCTCAGGTCAGAGCCAGTGCCCTTAACCCCTACCTTGTACAGCTGAGCTGGGGTGAGGGGTCATTTTGGTTGTTGGTGGTGGAGAGTTTTGACTGACCAGACTGTACAAGGAGTGAAGAGGAATTGCAGTAAGACAGGTCTGGTACGCACCCTGCCCCACTGTTCTAGGGGTCAGGGACACCTGGGCTCTCTCTCTCTACCACCTTTCCCTCTCAGACTACCTTTGCCCGCTTGTTCCAGTCTCCAGTTGGGGAGGCTGGGGAAGGAGAGGGTGAAAAGATTCCAGGTTGGTGGGGTGGGGGTGGGGCAGAAAGCAGCTTGGGCAGTGGGGAATAAGAAGCTGAGTGGGAGGAGCAACCTGGGCAGTAGAAAGTGAGAAACTTGGTGGGGGGAGCAACCTGGGGAGTGGAGAGCGAGAAGCTGGGTGGAAGGAGCGAACTGGGCAGTGGAGCATGGGCAGTGGGCAGTGGATGTGGGGGAACAGCCTGGGCAGTGGAGCATGAGAAACTGGATGTGGGGGAACAGCCTGGGCAGTGGAGAGAGAGAAGCTGGGTGGGAGAAGCAGCAGCCTGGGCAGTGAAGAGTGAGAGACTGTGTGGGAGGAGCAGCCTGGGCAGTGGAGAATGAGAAGCTGGGTGGGGGTAGCCTGGACAGTGGAGAGTGAGAGGCTGGAGGGTGAGGAGGGGCAGCCTGGGCAGGGGATAGTTAGGGTCCAGGTGGGAGAAGCAGCCTGGCCTCATGGAGGAAATACTAAAGGCCATCCTGCTAGCTGAAAGAGTGGGAGTAGGAGGGACCAGGAGGAAGCTCTTGAGGTGGAGGCAGCGATGTGGTGTGGTGTTGTGACTTGTTAAAGACCTGGGCCTGACCCAGCAGGGATGGGAAACCGGAGCAAAAGAAGGTTAGAGGCAGAAGGCGATTTTACATGTGGCTACAAGCTGTGGCCAATCATGGCGGCGGGGAGCCCAGGAGAGGTCCTCTGGGCATTGGTGGGTGGATGTGAGACAGGAGTGGACTTGGTGATGCCTGGAGCATGGAGAGTGGGGAAGAAAGGTCTGGAACATGGTTGGGGGTGGTGCTGCCTTCAGTTAAGGTAGGCAGGCCCAGGCTGTGAGGGAAGTTTAGTTTGGGCTGTGGGTTTATGTCCCCATAGGCCATCCCAGCGGTGATGTACACACGGGGCTGGGCTGGTAGGTGTGGGCTGAGGAG